TGGATGGCAGCTAAAAGTGGAATCCAGGACATGCGTTCGTTCCCGTTCGGGGCTCGTCAGCTCATTGTCCACCAGGCAACTGAGTCACGATAGCCACCCTATTTACGATTGATATAGTATAGTCTTCGACATTATAACTTGGTAGGACTGAATTGATCGGTGACTACAGACGTATGGCCTCTTGTGCGAATGCCTCGATATTGTCGGTATTTTTCAAATTTCACATTATTTAAGGATAGTAGCAGAGAGTGAAATCAAGGACGTGCATTTTGTGCATAAGGCTCTGGTGTATGAAGCAATTTGTCCTGGTTTTGAGTCTTAGTGAGAACAACATCCTCCGCTTGGAGGTTGACATATTCAGCTGATGAATCCAAAATAGGATAGAACATGCGTCCTGGATTCCACTGCTAGCCACCATCCATCAATAATATTAAATTTGAAAATATCGGCAATATCGAAGCATCTACATGGGAGCGTATACGCCAATAGTGGTTAATGAATTTGGTCCAATCAAAGACGGAGTTTCCCAAGGGATAAATGATATCAAGGGTTCTGAACACCAACGTACTAACTCCCTCAAATATTTCAGAAAAGATAAATCTCAGCAATAGTTAATCTTTAGTCAGCTCTTATCCAACTAACTTTCTCAACAAATTGACAGTCTGATGAGAATCGAAACAAAAATTTCCGAAACTCATTTAAACAAATACATTTTTATCCAAGCAGTTTTAGTAACTAGGTCAATTTTTTTGTTTGCAGTAGTTGGTAGACACTGTTATTGAGGAAAGAAATATCAAGAGAAAAACAATAAATATCTGATACTAAAGCATGAATCCTCATTTGATAAGGTTTTCAATAAATGTATGAAAATCATCTGTGATTACAATTATGAGGCTTCAAATCTTATACAGTTCACTAAGAACACACAAAATGAAATATTTCAGTGTACATCTTCTCATCTAACTTTGTATTTTATAAATACCTGCTTAGAATCATGTACTTAGAAATAACTGAAGGTATATCCAGATGATAATCTGAATGTATTAATAAAAAGATCCCATCATCCGCTTTGTTTTACGAAGAACTATCAGTAATAATCTACTCACCACATCCTTTCTCATTTTTCTTGAAGGTATTGAATAGTGCATCATCAAGCACTATCAAATCAAAGGACTATAAAAGTAGCTGTACTAGGATCTGAATAACTTAATTGCAAAGGACTGATGTATGCTGAATTGTCAGTACTTCGCCTAATGAATGAAGGTAGACGTGTTAGCGTACTTATTTAAATGTAAAGTAGTGTGATTAAATACGGAAAATATCTCAATAAATAGTTTCCTTAAAGAAAGTAAATCCGAAAGCCATTGGTTTGCAAGGTTGATGCTATTGATACTCAGTGATGATTGAAGGCAAAGTGAAAGCCTGCATGATAGCAAGATTTCAAATGAGACAAAAAGATCTTACTAGTCAGTCTGTATGGATACGATGAACGGTTTCATATGGCAGCCAGAAATAAACCTAGGTGACTTAAATGAAAACCTGGTCATAACTGAACATCGAAGCTCAGCTGGTGAAGCGTTAGAGGATAATCTAGCAGCGGCTGATTCAAAGAACTTTAGACTACAGTAGACAAGGCTTAGAAGTTTTCCCACGGTAAAGCACTGCGGTAAGGTTACTTTTGTGCTGGCTACCATAAATGGCACAAGATCACTTAGAATTGGTATCTTTGCAATAGTTTATTACTTTCCAAGAGATTAACTTTGTCTCACTTGCCACTTAAAATTCAAATACTTTCACGCTCATGTTTAGTCTTTCCAATAGGACACGATATAATCAGACATAAACTTAAAGGTCAATGGGATAAGCTAACGAGTGATAAAGTTTACTTCCTAAAATGTAATCTGATGGCTTACAATTATACACCTTTTTTCAAAAGGTTTTGGACAACTTGTTGTAACTTTTTTGACTAAAATGAAGAATGTATTCCGTTGGAAACACAAGGATAACATGAATTTCTTTGGCACTCAGGTACTTCAAATTAGTGAACGTCAAAAGCCCGAAACCCTATTTTAAGAGTTTACTTGAGATTTCCCTACACTACTGATCAGCAAACTTTGATAAAAACAGCTATGCTGAGCAGTGCATTCTAACAGACAAAGAGTCTCATAATACATGCTTTCAGTACTCTGATTTTATTCTTTCAGCCGTTTTTTCCCATGACAGGTTGTATTGACTGTTAGCATAGGTAGTTGACTTTAGTGAACCAAATATTCTAGCTTGACAAACGCTGGATATATTATGGTAGTAAGAAGACTTGAACATCAAAAGTGGTATAATCCCCTTAATCGTTTTGTTGAGTATTTAATCGAGAACCTTCGTACGACTCTCAAAATAACCGTTAATATTCTTGACTTATATGATGATAGAATAAATCAGAGGGCAATAATGGTGACTTTGAAAGCTCAGAGATCAGTCTGTGATAAAAATTACTCCCGAACTAGTGAATTTCTGTGACTCAACAACTATATTACTATTCAGTGCCCACTAGTGATTCACTTCAAAGTGGATGTCATGAGGATCGAATCAGAAGTCGTGACTGTTGCGGCTAACCGAGTCACGAGTAAAGTAGATGTCAACTGATATCATTCTATGATGATCACTCTATTCTATGAATCATTACAAATAGGATATACTGAATTTTTAGATTTGAACGCAGTAGTGGATTTGTGACTTGAGGATCCTTCGTGGATCATGAGTGCAAACTGTTTCGAAATTACAAACTTGGGACCAAACACCTGTTCAATTAGCACAGTTTTTCGATGGATCTACAACTTATCACTCTACGGTGAAAACTACCATGAAATGCATAAATTCTTACAAACCAATAACAGAAGAATCTGAATTTTTTCCACAATAATCTGAATTATATTATTTCAAATGCTCAAATACTCTTTAAAACCGCTCAAAAATATCTATTAATGCCTAAGTATGTCAAGTTTGACATATTTTTCAAAAAGGTCTGATAATTACAGCAGTACTACATTCACTTGTAGACCAAGTGACTACGGAAACTAAAGGTCGCTGGTTCGATCCTCGGTGGGGCATGGTGGGGGCGCGCACCGCTGAAAAGCCCCATACTAGGACGAAAGAGATGTTTAATGCTCCCAAGTTTCCAATGTTCCTCCAAGTGATGTCAGTCCATGACGAAAACCAACTTAAAATATCTCTAAATCCACACAAACCCCCAAATTCAACTGGCACTTTATTATTATTTGTCCCTTGGGTTCCTAGTGGAACATAGGGATTCAGTAGTACGTCTCCATTCCACTATCTTCTCTGCAATCTTTTCAACCTGGCTTCACGACTGCTCAGAAGTTCTCATTTCTTCCTCACACTATCTGCTCCATGTCACCCTCACCTCGGATGCCCAACTCGTCGTCTCCCATCTGGGTTCCACTCAAGTGCCTGGCGCATGATATCTTCAAATGGTCTCCTCAGTGCATGCCCAGTCCATCTCCACTTCCGCTTCCTTCTGCATATTTGTTAAACGATAGGTTCTTGGTTGGTTCGTTACCAGCCAGCCAACCAGCCAGAGTTCCTTGTTTCTTATTCTTCCTGGCAATCCATATGATCTCTAGTGTCCGTAACGAGCCAGCGTAGGCAGTTGTTGATGAATGTCTATGGTTTTTTGGAAACGCTTTTTGTAACGCGCCAAGTCTCTCAACCATCACATGTAAGCACTGACTGGACTGACATTAGTGTTGAAAATCCGGATGTTTTTCACGTTTTATACTGATTGCAGAAGATCTCCACACTGGTTTCAGGTCACTAAAAGCCTGTCTTGGTGCCTTTGCGATCCTGGCTTTGATATCTTCGTCTATGTCGCCTGTAGGTGAAACGATGCTGTCTAGGAGGGTGGGTGAAAGAGGCTACTTCCTTTAAGTTTCTCCTGTTGGAGGTGATTGGAGCTTCTTGTTGTTGTTGGTGGTGTTGGTTGGTTATCTTCATCACCTCCATCTTCTCTATGCTCACTTGAAGTCCCGTATTCGCTGCCTCTTCTGTCAACTTGTTAGTTTTCGCCTGTAGATCTTCAAGTTTGTGTGACACTAGACACTTTTATTGCGACTATAATTGGTTATTATGTGGTTGAGATAAAATCTTTATTGTTATTTATGATTTGACTGACTTTCACAACTATCTGATTAGTGATTTCTGTTCATTGATTGATATCTTTGTCAATATCATTAACCTGGTAGTAAAGAATAACTTTCAATACTGTGGGAAATTTCGAAAAACCTGCAAGAGACCATCAGAAACAAACTTAGGAAGGGAGATTTTGAAAGTGATACCACCCACTGGAGTAGATATGGCATTTTGTGTGTTCGCGTGTGTTTGTGTGTAAGCTAAAAAATCTCTTTGGACTTGTGTATGAATTAAATGGCCATTGCTAAGAAACTTTTCAAGATGAAAACAGCATCTGAAACGTTTTTAATTATTTCGCCTTCTTATACACTGGAATTGTGTTGTATTTTCAGATTATGACAAGAATTTCGCAGCTGACTATATACTTAACGGGCAATAGTGACTTGTTTATTTATATGCAGTGTATGTGAATGAAATAATATGGCTAGGAACTACCTGTTGGTCACATAAACTAAATGGTGTATTCACACATAACGTTATGCTGGAAAACGTATCCAGTAGATATTTCACATTTATTTGTTTGTAAGGACAAATTGGGTGCTACAAGATAACATTGGTCTACATTTACAAGCTAAACTTCATCACCATACTGGTTTAATCATGTCTTAGTTTCAGATAAACGAGGTCATAAGCAGTTTTTTTTTAGTTGATTACATGTCACACTGCTTAGAGATCAGAAACGCTGATCACATTGAACCCATCTCCAGGAGTGAATTTTTCAAAAATAAACAAACTACTTAATAGTGTGAACAGTAGTAAATTTGTTTATCGTGAAATAATCCGTTTGTATTCTTTAGTGACACATTGGACATATCATGGAATCAAGTAGAAAATGGAGGAATGCAAATAAATTATTGTGTCGTTGTCAATGCAGATGAAAATCTTTATTACAGATGTACTGCGATGGCAAGATTGAATCAATCTTCTAACTATGAAACAAAGGAAAAGCTTAAGCGGCCTAAAGTATTTCGAGATACTGATCATTTTAGACCAGAATTGATCGATAATTATGTATATAAATGTACCAATAAATCGATAACACGAGTAAGTTTCCATTAGCTATTTTTCTCCAGATGAAATTTGACCAATTTATCTGCTGTATTTCCTTCCATTTGAAGTAAGCTGTAACCAAATGTTGTTTCGAAGAAAAGAGAAAGGACTTTGGTGCACCGGACCGATAACCTGTAGGTTTCTGGTTCGAATCCCGTTGCGGCTCAGATTTGCATTTCACCTTTAATCACTACTCAGTATCAGCAATAAAAGTCTTTCAACCTGCAGATATCTTCGACAGTCAAACTGATAAAGGTGGCTGTCGCGACCCATTGGCCTGACGGGTAGCGCTTTGGCTTTTGAAGTGATGGGTTATGGGTTCGAATCTCGGCGGAAACAAAATCACTCGCTGAAGTGCAGGCGAATCCAGCTGATGAGTCAAAAGTAGGAAGAAACACGCGTTCTAGTTTTCACTGCTAGCCACCTGCTGGATATAAACCAATAAATGATTCAAGCATTGATGACTAATAACTTTTCAAATTATTTAGTGGTCTGAATAACGAAGCCAATGGATCAGAAAGATTCATTTCTTACCAATAACTTTGTTGAATAATATGTCTAAGTAGTGATGGGTTACATTTTCCAGGAGTATGTTGTAAACTGCGAAACTTCACACTTCTTGCTGAATACATCTACCTTCCTAAGTTGGTATTCATCACAGGCTGATTTCAGTTGGATAACTATTGAAATCCTGGGAACTCTGAACATGCGTCTCGTCCTATCCTGGGATTCTTCAGCAGTGTCTAGTGTTCATTCATAACTAGCTTCGTGATGAGATCTCAGTATACATCCAAGCAATGTCATTCCATGGAGGTTCACAACCTCATCAATCGACTTGCCTTCCTTCCCAAGTACACTTCCCCTGACCTCAACATTGCTCCCACAGTGATTCCACCAAACACGAGCAATGATACGAAGACATTTGTCGTCTGCATGGATTCAAATGCCACCGTCATGTTAGGAAATATGGCAAATGTTGACCCGCAGTAGGTATGCTAATATTCCAGGACCTGTTGGGAGGTATATATATAGTCGATGCACCCTCAACCAGGTCTGAAACCTGCCTAGTTTCCTAGAGTTTGTTGTTTTCGAGCTCCAGTTAGACGTCGGATAGCTATGGACTTCAGGATCTTGGAAACAATATAAGTCAAACTAATTTCTCAATGTTAATGATGGATCGTGGCTAGCAGTGGAATCCAGGATGCGCATTTTGTCCTGTTTAGGACTCGTCAGCCGGATGTGCTTGCTTCTCAGCCAGTGGTGTTGTTCCCATCGGGATTCGGACTTGGGAGCGATCGCCCCAAACTCCAGGACGTTATCCACCACACCACCGAGCTACGATAGCCACTTCTTGTTCAAAAGGGAATAGTTTTAGTATAATTGTTTTTATATCATACTGTCGTTGCTTGGGCTATTGGCATATGGGCTCCTGTGCGGACGTCTCGATATTGCCTGCGTTCTAATTATATCAATAATGGAGAGAGACTGATCAATTCGGTCCGAGTAACGATGATATGATATAAAAATAATCATACTAATTTCCTAATGGTTGTGAATAGAAGATTTCTCTTCCTTCTTATAGACTGGGATGGCTGGTGAAATACACCAGTATGATGTGAATACCTCGGATTCCCATAGAACACCTAGTACCTCCAATACTCTACTCAGTAATCCCCTGCCACCTTCCTCAATAACTTCAGTTGACAATCTGTCAAGTCATGATGCTTTGCATCGTCTCAGATTCGAAACAGACTCCTCAACTTCGAGGAGAGTTGCAAGGTCCACATCAATATCGAATTGTTTCCTGTTGAATGCTAAGCAACTGAAGCGTTTCTGTGAACCAGTTAAACTTTGCTTTAGAGTGTTCTGCCCAACGTCCCAGCCTCCTGTACTGGGAGATTATCAGCATCCCATCCTTTTCGATGATGGTTTCACACACTACTGTCTTCCTCATGGCGGTATCTTAATAATCCTTGATGGTTGCCAAATATCGCTCAGCCCCAATGACTTTTCCATCTCTCTTGCTTTTGCCACCCACCACTGCTAGTAATTGACTCAAAGACTCTTATTCAACTTACGTTTGAGTTGTTCTCGCACTTCATAGTTGTCAGAGACAACTGGAATCAGTCTTCTCTAATCAAGCAGTTTTGACGACGTCGTGGAAATCCAGTGACCTTTGTTAACCTTCATATGTAGGTTATCAACAGTCTTCACCGCTGTTTCTACAGCAGACTTATTGTTATGTCAAGTTTTCTCCGGATAAGCATTGCTGTCATGTTCAAACATATGCCTGACCACCACTTATCTAAACGCAGACCTGACATTTTCATCTTCCGGTCTACCGTAAAAATGGTTTACTTCCATTTGTTTCCTGCGAAAAGTTGGGTACAGACACACACAAGACCGTACTACTGCACGATCTGAGTTCAAAGGGGTACTCCAAAATAAGCGACAATCCTCCACCGATCCTCTCCAACGATGACTTATAATAGTTTGATATATCTGTGTACGTCGTCGGTTTTGAATTCGGCGAACACCTTATGAGGCAGTGTCTTTCTTCATGTCTAAAGTTAGTGCTGGCCAGAAACAAGTGACTGTCGGTGCAAAATTGCAATAGACGATCACCGTGGTCGGTTCGTTGACATAGGATTCGGTAGATACCTCGCAGATGCCTTTCCGATTGGATCAACTTCCCTTGATCGGTGAAGTCATTTGCCTTTACGACTATATCTGAACGTTTTGCTTACTGTAGCGAGGTTGACAGCTTCTCATAAAAGTTATCCTTTGCATCATCCGAGCCACCGTCGGCGGGCGAGCAGCTGGAGATTACGAATCGGCACCAAACGGTCTTTCTATCCTTCCTAGTTCTTACAGATCCATTCAGTAGAACAGAATATAGACGGGTGCTGAATAGTATCCAGTCGAGGAGCTCACTTTCTACTCTACAACTCAATGCTATGTCAACATCAGGTAGTCCACGAGAACTGGCCACTAAACTAACGGATACCATCAGAATGAATTTTGATGACTCACTTCTATTGGTGGGTAAGTTTAATTTAATAACCACACTCAGGTCCTGTATACATTTCTCAGAGACACAGCACACACCCATAGCTAGAAATTCCAGAGTTCTAGCGAGCGATACTCGCTGTCCGACTTGACATAGACTTCGGATTTTGAAAGCTTCTACACGAAATCCATGGTGGGATTTCACCAAACTAGGCATAAGGTTTCGATGGCTTTGATCGTTGACAGTGGTTGTAGAATGGGGGGCTGATAGAGTTGTAAGAGGCTTATGATTGGTATTAGCAGGCTAAGGCAAAGGAGGAGACATAGTAGAGGAGAATAGGTTATGTTTGATTGGGTCTTGTGTACTGCTGGCAGTGTATGGGAAATTGACACTTCTCGGCTTCCTACACCATGGAAGGCTATTTCTCCTTAAGATATCTGAAAGTAAAAGAGATTTGTGTGACCGTAGAGCCCATGGGATATCTGTTTGAGGGGTGTCACACATGGCTTTTTGCAAGATGTTGTTTTGTTGCATTAGTCCCTGATAGACAAAACTCCATACCGCCGGCAATGGGAGACTATTAAGCATGGTTGAGTGTGAGCCAATCTTTTCTCTTGCCCCGTTCCGTGGAGAAGGCAGCATCAGTATGTCACTGTTGGTTATCCAAAAGACTTTTCTTGCATGGTAGGACATAGAGGGAACAAGGTTTCCACCAGCACAGCTTGTTGGGTCATTGTGATATGCAAGCCCTACCGTCACGTAACGGCAGCAGGTATCAGGTGGTTTTAATGAGAAGTCGTGACCGATGGGGAAACCAATTCGAACGTGAGAACAGGTACTCAGCAACGGCGAAAGTATCGAAATACGAACTACTGGATTCTGACCCAGTGACATGGCTCAGTGGTGACGTGCTGGTCACGGAAGCTGAGGGCGGTGAGTCTGATACTCGTTCCAATCATGGATGCCCGCTGCTGAGGAGTTCCATACAAGGGCGGAATGGCTGTTGTATACCATTCTGTTATTTTATTCAACGATTTTATATCCTAAGCACCACCTTATTCAATACATATCAAGGAAGTAAAATGCTACAGTTCAGGCAAGAGATTGTCATTATATAATAATGAGGCTTTAACAAAAACGTTTTGTGAGGAAGGTAGAACTCCCAACTCATTTCTTATGAAAACAATTTTGATTTTAGGAGCTTTATTACTATGGCCACAGCAAACTGTCGAAGGATTTAAATTATTCTGTCTGTTGATGACTTTGAAGTATCTCAAGGTTTCTATCTGTGTCGACGACTGCAGTCATAAGGATTTCTACCGATATAAAGTGCGATAGACTAGTAATCACAACTCCAGGATATGATATATCTATTTGTAACTGATGCAGACCCCTAATTCTGTATAGCTTTTGCCTCCTGTTCTGCAAACGACCTTAAAGTAACCTACTTAGCTATTTTCACACTGTTACTTGTTTTTCTTCCGTCTGCCCTCAAGGATGAACTCTCATTGGTTGTTAACTATCTTCACCCATACGTTGATTTAGTGTTTCGCAAGGTTATTTAGGAATGTATATATTCAGCATTGCTGTTAACTTTATTGACTGTTGTTGTTCTGTGTCAACAGTCTGTCTTCTCTTCTTGTTTTCGCGCCCCGGTGGTGTTGTTATGATAGTGATTGATGTTGTGATTAGCATGAGAGTCGATTCGTTTGTGCGTTAGGTTCATGTCATTCTTAGTCTGCTAGGCTCTTATTGCTAGTAGGTTGTTAGGTCGTACTACCGGTCATAATAGTAACTGAATGTTCTTGGTGGAAATTAACAGCAAATGTTTCAATTTTTGGAAATGTTGAAAAACGTAAACAACAATCTCATGAATTAAAATCCTTCTGAAAAAGGACAAGAAACATTGCAGTTTTAGGATTCACTCTGACCAAGAGGAGTTTGTGCCTGGAACAAATGATGAATATACAGTGAATTTATTATTACAGCAAGGCACATTAGTGAGGAATATTTTGTTGAATATCAGCTATATAGGCAATAAGTTGAGATTTATTAACACCTAGCTAACTTTCTCAAACACTACAAGGAGAGAAAATAAAACTTTAAATAGTGAGATGTTGTTGATAAACACACTACTCAAAACACTATAATTCGATTTTTTGATGTTATCCGACTACATAATTGCCTTGTCAGTAAAGATTCTGAACTCCTTTGAATCCATTCACTCTCTTCTGTGAATGTCCGAAATCAATAGTAAATAGTTTTATTGCATCGTATACTGTGAAGTGGTTTATACCAAAACTGCTAGAAGAAACTAATTAGAGATTTTTGAGGTACAAAGTATTGTGTAAATGATGGTACTCATTAACCCTGTCTGACTGGCCTTTGAACTTCTTTTACTACCAACAATAATAATGATAGTGATGAGAGCTATTTTGGTTTTCTAGGCCTTCTACAGTTGACCAGGTCGACTGAACATCACAGACCATAAGAACGATCTCTAATTGGGCGCATATACATGAAAAAGGTTTACACGACAGACTATGCACACTTAATATCGGAGATGGCTTCAAAGTTCAGAGTATCTTCTTGTACTTTCTTAGCAGTTAGGACATCGAGTGACCAGTCTCACTTCGTCTAAGGTCAGCAATATCTCACATTCATTGCTCAATTAATAACAACCCTCTTAACACCCCAGTTAAACAACGTCACCCAGGCCCTTCAGCTTTTACTACGTGCGCGATCACTAGACAACTGACCATTTTCAAGAGTCAGCCAGTAATCGCTTTTAAAAACTTCTTCTCCAGTCAAGAAGGATAATGCAGGCTTCGTCGCTTTGAGTGTAAGATTAAGGGTGACAGTAGAGGTAGTACTAGTAGTGATAAATAGTTATGAGGATGTAAAACTTAGTATGCTGAGTAGTCTGAGGAAACACAAACAATAACTGTCGGGTGGTGAAGATTCAAACAAAGAAATAAGATTGAACAGAAATTTAGACGGCTAGGACACTACCTACTGAGATGCCGAACAAGGCGAATGTTTACTCATGCGACTCTATTGTAAGATTTAGTAATTATAACCGTTAATAATTGTAATCTGTCACTGAACTTCTCTTCAGTAGAATATTGTGAGTAGAACAGTGTAAGTAGTAGGGTGTTTCTGTTGAATTTTGGAGACATTTCTAAAGGTATTCTTTTTTTTCTGTTTTCTTTCTCTATTCAATTTCAATTTTCAAAGATTAGATTATCCCCTGTATTAACCAGAGTATTAAACCAATTATCTATGAATAATTCCCTGAAATTATTCATCAATATATATGCAGTTAATAAACTTGTGGATGTCAGTTCAGCTTATCCTGTCAAAATTATTCAACATTATATAGAGAAATGTGAAACTCGACGTCATGTCAATGATATTCAAGTTTCATATGAACCGTATATATTCAAATTATTATGGAATTCTGATGTATCATTTCAATGGAAATCAAGTCGGAAAACTGTTCAACTTTATTATCAACCATGTAATTTACCTATGGATAAGTCTATAAATTATACAATATCTCTGATTAGACAATCATTTTCAGAGTAAGTTATTGATTGATTTTTATGTGAATTGTTTTGTTTTATTGTGTTCTTTGAGCTGAGTTGTTTACTCATGAAGCTTTCATTGTCTTTCTTGACTACATCTCTTCAGCACTAACTTCATTATTATGATGAAAGCTCCACAACTAAACAACTCAGCTCAGAGAACACAATACAATCATTACCATCCACCTGAGCTACAAATATTCTCCACCATTTCAAAACTGTGAATTTCTGTAGCATCGTAAAAATATGAAATAAGCTGTTAGAAGATTTCAACTAGGCTATAATAATAGCAAAGAATGTATTGCTGCACTTTAAATCTTTATGTTTTCAGATACATGCTCCTGATGACTAACGGCATCCATGAGACCTACTTGGAATAGGCCATCAACGTTAAAGCCATGGGAGAGTAAACCACAGTGAGCATCATTGAGCTTAGTAACCATATTGTACACTTGGATCATTTCTGAGCGCTAAGGACTAAGCAACTGCGTCGGTTACAAACTGCAGAATATTCTAGTTCTGCAGGGGTTCAATTGTGGTCTGAAAAGCTTAGTGTTAAAGTCTCTGGTTTCAGCATTGATTGATACATATTTGCATCACTGAAGAAACACTAGTTTCCTCACCGTTTTGGATGTGCTCTGCTGATGAGAGCCAGAAAGTGAAAAGCGTAAATAAAAAACGGAGTTTCCTATAGAGTGACTTTCAGCATCTAGTCAAAGAACAGCTTTTTATTAAGCCATGCTTATAAAAGAATCCAACTGAGTCACTGCGCTGATCAAATGATTCGACCGGCATTAAATCATTGTGAAAGAAGGATTAGAAAGGATGTAGCTGTCTCTACCAACGCTAAACGTGAGTAAATTCCTACACCTGACCTTGTCATTGGTATGACAACAGTAAGAAGAGTTATTTAAAATGTGTTATGATTACTAAAAATGAAATTTAACATGGGGGTTTGTGGGTATTTAAGGATTTTTCAAATTGGTATTCATAGTGGACTGACATCAGTTGGAGGGACAGTGAAAACCTGGGGACACTGGACACCTGTTTAGTCCGAGTATGGGACTCCTCAGCAGTGCACACCCATGACCCCACCCCGCCAGGGCTCGAACAGGCGACCTTCAGGTTCCGTAGCCAGCACGTCATTGCTGATCCACCTCTGTTAGTTCACGACATAGTGCAGCCACCACCCAATGTATTTAACTTCATGATCACCAGGTTTGTTCCATTGGTCACTTCAGGAACCACCTCTGGAAGCTAGTCACAAATGAGCACTAGTTCAATTGAATCTGGGGGTTGGGGGCATTTAAAGATATTTCAAGTTACTGCACACTGCTGAAGAATGGTATACTAGGAGGAAACGGCTGTCCAATACTCCCAGGTTTCCAATGTTCCTTCAACTGATGTCAGTCCATAGTGAATATCAATTTGAGAAAAATGAAATTCTCAAAAATATTTAGCTGTAAACTTCAAAAATTCTATCTTGAGTGGTGAATTTTTCTCTCATTAGAGTGACTTTAAATCTATGGACATATACCACCAGCTACCGATAGATCTCATCCAAATTTTCTTCAAAAATGAAGAAAATGCAGTGAGAAGAGAGAGAATTCTCATCATTACTCATCTGCTGTTAATATTATCACTTTAGCATTTCTATCAAAGCCAATGATTACACATGTTGAATCAACTGTCTTCTGAACTTCCTAACTCTTAGGTGCATGATAAAAAGTGTAACTCTTCCTTATGTGTACATTAATTAGATGAGGATTGATTATCCATATACTATCTGAAAAATACGTTCGTAATTTTCATACAAATTCTTATTTATACTGTAAATCTCGCTACCGTTGATATTATTAACATTTCATCACAAAATGCTGTTCACTGAAAACAGATAAAATTGAAATCAGCTTCACTTTCATTATCGACTTAAGTTTTCTCTCCACTATTTTAATGTTTTATTTTATACAATTAATCTTTTCTTACCACAACTCTGACTTATCACAACAAACTTATCAGCTTTTTGGTATAGTTTTGATCTCAGGTTAACATCATTTTTGAAAGCTATTAGAGAAATAGGGACACTGAACGAGTGTTTCAGCTCATTCCGGGACTCCTCAACCGTTGACAGACGTCAGAAGCAGTGAACCACTGAGTTACAACAAAAGATTAAGTAATTACGGACTCAATCCTTCTTCCATCAGTTAAACCATTCACATCTATTATTATTATTTGTCCTTTGGATTCATAGTAGAATATAAGGATTCAGTAGCACGTCTCCATTCCACTCTCTTCTCTGCAATCTTTTCAACCTGGCTTCACGACTGCTCAGAAGCTCTCATTTCTTCCTCACACTATCTGCTCCATGTCACCCTCATCTCGGATACCCAACTCGTCGTCTCCCATCTAGGTCCCACTCGAGTGCTTGGCGCGTGATGTCCCCGAATGGTCTTCTCAGTGCATACCTAATCCATCTCCACTTCCACTTCCTTCTGCATATTTGTTAAACGATAGGTTACTGGTTGCTTCGTTACCATCCAGCCAGAGTTCCTTGTTGCTTATTCTTTCTAGCCATCTGAGCATCAATAATCCAATTTTAACATTAATGAAGCACCGAGATATATCGTTTTTATTCTCTAAGGTCACTTATATTTACAAATATTCCTTCTTAGTTGATAAGAACATATATGAAATCCACCTACACAGTTTTCTATGTCACTTATTTCCACTTATGGTACCCTGAGCCATCTCCATAGTGACAATTGATCAGTAAGTAAGACAGATTCGCTTTGCAAAATGATTGACAAATTTCAATCAGTACTAAGGTCTGTTTGATAGTTGACTAAAGTTACTTCTTATGGAGGTGTAGATGACTGGCTTAGGTATTCAACTTTCGGAAAATGTTATGTTAGCTGATAAGTGGGAAATATGAATCTCAGATAAGTGTCATCGGTTGCATTAGTTGATTTATTTGAAAAGTCATCTTACTCACAACTTAAGTGGTAACATTCTTGGATAGTTCGGTTCAAGAGCTTTCAAATCACCTCTCAACTGTTACTGCATAATCCATATTTCCGAAATGACTACATGTTGAGTGAGCTCCGTTGCTGTGCATTATCCCATATTTCATGCTTGAAATGAGTTATTTCATTTATTATTTCAGTTGTGGTGCGTTGTGGTCAGATAATTTGGTTATATATATATGCAAATGAATCAGATCGCTTGAAATGTACAGACTGAAAACATTACACTCGTGTCCTGTTGTACATGATTAGGCAATTTCATTTTCAAAGCTGTACAATCGCAAATTTATACATTTTTCCAGTGTAAGTATATGATAGTTAAAAACGGTTTGTCAAGCACGACAATACAAATAGTGTCAATAAATGAATCGTTATTATAATATAAAAAGAACCAAAAACTGGTGAGTCGTGAATATTGATCAAAATAAGTTTGAACAAGAAGCTTGGAAAATGATTTCCGACCAGGCTGAACGTAGCAACGAGGATGAGTAGCAAATTTCTTAAGTGAATAGTGTCGAAACAGAAGGGAGAAAAGAAATAAAGGGGCGATTAGAGGAGAATGAAAACTAAGACCAGGAAAGAAGGGATTTAACAATCTGCTTTTGTTTACACAGTTCAGGCTTCTCAATTCGGATGACAAGAGCTTCGGTGATGAAGAGAATACGAAGGCATACAGCTTTGGGGAGGTTTCTTTTTACTTTAAAGATGACTTTAAGCAAGGAGGTTCAATTATAGCACTCCTTATCCTCCATTATTGCCGCGTCGAACGACCTATATACCTGGCTCCAAAAGAGCAGGTGAATTGATATATGCACATAAAAGTGGTCAGATGTGAGAGTTTCTCCTTTGAGTTGTTAGAAACCATTGGATGATAAGAGAATACAAGTCTCAGCTTTGATGCAAAAAATGTTCTCTTTAGAACGTTTGATATCCCCCTCTTTAGAGTGTCAGCGGCAGAATCACCTTTGAAGTTGAGATCCATGTAGAGTACCTTTCTTGTCACAGTGGTAAAGTTCTCCTTGCGAGATTTAGATTTGATGTGTCTGTCTATGAAGCGTAGTGGGAACCCTTTTTCAATAAGTATGTTCTTTGGAACAGAAACTTCCTCTTCTAACACATCCAGACTGGAGATTCGTCTAATGCGAGTGGTAAGAGATGTGATCAGATTTCGCTTACGACTCATAGGGACCCAGATATTAAAGTTCGTCAGTTGACCATTCCACATTGGTTTTCTATGAATTGATCTACTGAACGTTCCATCAGATCTTCTTATCAGCTGTACATCCAGTAAGTGAATTTTTGACCGATTTTCGACCTCAAGGGTGAATTTAATTTTAGAGTGGCAGTTATTGAATATTTGTAGAACATGATTTAAATTATATTAATGATCATTTACCTTTTGTACAGATGAAAACCTTCAATCGTTGATTTCAAGGGTCCGTTCTCCAAACTGGCCATAAAGCAGTCATTTAGTAGTGAACCTGGTGGGGATCCCATGGCGATTCCATCTTTCTGTCTTTAAATCATGTCAATACATATGAACTGAACGTTGAATGTGCATCTAAGTAACAGTTTCTTAAGGCTGGGGGTCGGTATCCTAACATTTATGTTATCTTCTATGTATCTACATAAGAACTGTATGACTTATCGTGTGGCTAATTGAGTAAACTAAACTGGGCAAGCATATTCTAGACCAGTCACGTTCAAGGTCAATCGGTAGGATCACTTCAATCAGCAAATCGAGCTCAGAGAATGTTACACTAATAAGTAGTATAATAACTTGTTAAACAATGTGTCGTCTAGTGAATCACATCGATCTGTACGCGGTGCAGTTGTACAATTGTAGTTTAAAGTAACTTCATACAAATCGTTAAACATGAAAATGCTGCAGATGAATTACATTCGATTTTTTATTTACTTTCTACTTCTTTGTATATTTACTTTTTAATAGAAATGTATCAGAATCACCAGAGATGAAGAAGTTATGCGAATATTCAATCATTAATCATCATGTACTGCAGATGTGTTTAAATTCATCTACTGATGGAGTCTACTTTCTACAGTTAAATGGTGATGTGAAATTTAAAAATGGAGTACCAGTGGGAAGATATTTTTTCCTTACTTCTAATGCTACAAATTTGCTGCCTAAAAAGCCAAAACATACAGGTATAAGAAAAAATTTTGTCTCTATGCAATTAGTTTTTTTTAATAGGAATCTTTTTGTATATTGTTTTGATACTTATAGAAGAGTTGCGTAATGTTTTCCTTGTGTTTTAAGTATGCAGTGTTTAGTGAGGGACTGTAAAAGCTACCCTAACAACCACTGAAATAACTAATTAGGTTTCTCCATTTCGACTTGGAAGACCGTTTGTTCGTGAAGTGAAGAATGTTAACCGATCCCTTCAGTAGCCTTAAATTGATTCTTATTCAGTCATTTTCTTCGGTTAAATAAACCCCACTGATGGCGATAACAATGGAAGTTATTGACGTTTGATCACTGAATTCATTATCAGCTGAAAAGGGTGGTCACTGGATTCAGATTAGATGTCTTAATGATTTACTGTTTGTCTTTCCAAATCCCCGTGGCTTATCAGGTCGATCCAGTGTCAGCGATGACACAAGAGCCTGTGACTTAGGCGCATATACATGAAAACGGTATAGACAACAGGCTGTACATTCCTACTAATGGAAAGTACCCAAAGACTTGGGTATCTACTCTTATCACCTAGGCAGGGACGGTATTAAGTATCCGAAATGAATCATGGATAGTGGCCAGAAGTTAAATTCATGATGCGCGTTTCGTCCTTTTCAGGGCTCATCAGCTAGATGCACTTATCTCTCAGTGAGTTTTGTTCGCAATGAGACACGAACCTAGGACCAATCGCTAGGCCACTGAGTCACGATAAGTACTTGTTGTATGACGGATACAGTAAAGTCTTATTCTTTGTGAGTCTCCGTCATTGATTTGACCGAATCAATTGGCAACTATTTGCTGATGGGCTACTATGCGAACCCCTTGATATTGACGGTATTTTTACAAATTTGATATTATTGATCGATAGTAGCCAGCAGTGAAATCAAGGATGTCCGATTTGGATTATCGCCTACTTAGGTTAGCTATGTCTGACATACACCACACTGCTCTACACAATCCCTCTTCGCATTACAGTGAAACGGTGGCACCTAGGCATTTGAACAATGTAAATGATACGCATGGAAGATTAAGCATTCTATTACAGAAGGATTTTTTTTTTAAATTGACTAAGTGACGTTGTTTGTATATTATCCAGTGGATTGTAGCACATAGTAACACAACTGAATTGGTGATGATAACGGTGTCATCTGATTTTGAAGTTTTATGAATAAACATCACCAGAATTGAAATTAGTGCGTTTATCTATTAAGCTTTCAGTTCAGATGAATTTCACTTGTATTCTAAAGCTAAAGTAACCATAGTCAAAAAATAACTAGTTGTGATTGGTTTATTTGATGGTGGCTAATAGGGGAATCCAAGATGCATACTTCTTCCTGTTTAGGACTCGTCAGCTAGGTGTACCTATAACCCAGTGAGTGAAAAGGTTTGCATCTAGACTTATGATTGTTTTTGGTTATAGTGATGTTTTATCTAAAATGATAAATGGTAGAAGGGAAAAAACTCGTCATCCTTGAAATGATTAAGAGAGTAACTTTTGGCACGCTAGAACTTCACAGAATGTTTCTTGTTCCTTTGTTTTATCATCGAATATAGACTATCAGTTCAAAGACAATGAAATATTTGGGTTTATAGAGTTTATTTATGGTTTTTCCTGGCCAACAATTATACAAAAAGTGTTCAGCATCTTGATAACAACGTCTAGTGGACAGTGTCTCGATTTCATATCTCAGTCATATCTATCCAACACAACTTGTTATCATCCTTCAAGAATGTAAAGTAAAACCTAGCAACAATCTACCTACAATTGTGATCTGTTTGACTCCAATCTCTGTCATTTCAGCAAGAAACATGTCAATAATCAACCACTGAACTGTACACTGCCACTGGCCAGAGCACAAGATGATTGTGGATAGAAGGTCAACTCAAGGTCATCAAAAATTTACCAATAGGATTATAATAAATAAACAAAGAAATTATATGTGTTAGGAAGATTACCACCGAGATAAAATTAGAGATTGAATGTACCTCTTTTGAAAGCAGAGGTTAGTCTTGAACAGATGAATTGGGAAGGCTTCTGTTATGTTCAGGTGTGAAATTTGTAGTGCCTTTGAAATGTTTGATTTGAGTTTATAAATGAATTTGAAGGAAGATTCTGGTGCAGCAGAGAGACTAGAGTCAATATTATACAAATACATAGTAACCTATCTTATTCAGTATAAGTTTTTTGGCTAGGTTATCCATGTGAAAAATTTTGACATTCAACTAAAAGCCGACAACTAGATACATTTACATTGATTATTCTCCGATGACCGTTCCAAATAGGACGGAATGCGTGTCCTGGATTTTTCTGCTAGCCACAACCAAACACATTACCATAATTCATATTCATGTAATATCAAGGCATCCGCATAGGAACCCATATGCCAACAGAGGTCAAACAATTTGATACAGTAAAACAACGGAGAATTACAAGCATATCGATAAATAGTGATAACTAACACCCGTTGTAAAAGAGGTGGCTATCGTGCTCCTATGGCCTAGTGGATAACGCCTTGGCGTTTGAGGCGATGAGTATGAGGTTCGAGTCTCAGTGGGAGCAACATAACTCCGCACTGGAGTGCAGGTAGATTCAGCTGACGAGTCTCAAATCGGACGAAACGTGCATCCTGGATTCCTCTGCTACTCACAACCAAGCACATTACCATAGCTGTAACAGTTGTTACTAGCATTCCAAATAAGTGAATGCTGATGTATATTGATTGGTTACTGGAGAGCAACTTATTTTATGTTGTCTAGTTCTAAGTTCTTACCAAATTCTATTGATCACTTTTACAATGTGGCCACCAAGCCAAGAACTTCACCATCACAGTTCAGCAAAGTATATCTCCAGTTTCAATCTTGAATGACTCAAATTCGAATTTGTTAGTAGATGTAGTATTTTTTTTCAGTTCTAAGAACATCTGATTACCTTTCATAAGCTTCTGCGTAACAATCGACTTCCTGTTACGTAACACAACCTTTTCACATTATAATTATTCTTCAATTTATGTTTTATTTTATTACTTTATAATAGATTACCCTACAGATATATTCAGTATTACTATTCAACCGTCAAGTAGTCAGACCATTTTTCAAATCCCTCCATTTATTCTACACAATAGTAGACATTATCATTTCACCGCCAAGCATCGTGTAAAACGCAACAATCATGGGTATTATTCACGTCAAATGAGATCAAGACAAAAGTTAACTAAACGTCTTTCGAATTTCATGTCAACTAAGATTAATAGATATTTAATGAAAAGTAGCATTCCTTCTGTCTTACTTAATCATCATCATCATCATCATCATCGTCATTATGTTAGTAAACATATGGAAAACATTCCAAACTTTTTAAAACGTCGTTCATTGCGTAATTCAATGAAAAATGGTTTTCATATTGGTGTTGATTGTACATTACATCAGTTGTATATCAGTTTAACAATTCATATAAATCCACAGAATTATTGGATATATACCTTACCATTAGCATGTCATTTAACGAATAATCTAACTTTTTTATGGATTTATATCAATAATATGGTAAGAATTATATCACTCACTAGTTACTACCATTATTATTATTACTTCTCTGGTTTATAGTGTTGTTGGTTGTATTGACGTATCACTCCTGCGTCCGAGTCCTAGTAGGAGCATCGTCGCTCACTTTGGAGGCAGGTGTATCTGGTTGACGAGTCCCAAATACGACAAAACGTGTGTCCCAGATTCCACCAATAGCCACTATTCATCATTTCTGACTAATGTTTGATCTGACTGTTGACAAATTTCTGGACATCTGACGATGTTTAGGGCTTTATTTAAATAGGGGTAAGTAAAACAGTGCCATTAAGTTTATCGCTGTTAGAGGTCGATGTGGCAAACATAACAATATGGAAGAATCAAGGTTAAGAAAGAAATGTGAAGTAATGGACAATCTAGCCAGTGCATAAAATATACCTACATTTTTGATAATTTCATGGCAATCTGTCATAGTAGAGAAGAATAGGAACTAGCAGTGAAATTCAGAACAAGCGTTTCATCCAATATACCTGGATCCCATTGACTAATGATGTTCTCACTAAGAATAGAATACACGATAAGCTGCTTCGATGCCAAAACACTATCCACTAGGTTACTGAGTTCTGATAGCCAATCCTTATGGTGTTATGGCTAGTTACCTCGTGTTGTTTATTGACTTCTGCGAAATCGATCAACCAATGTTCGCATATGCGCTCTTTTGCACATGCCTTGATGTAGCTGGTTAGACATCACAATACAGCGCACAGTATGCTTTAGGTTGCCCACAAGACCCACCACTAGGCTCTTCTTGGCTTCACTTATTTGTTTATTGCCATTAATCAGTAACATATATGTCTGGAACATTACGGCAGTTAGTATTCCTTCGAAAGCTTTGTCATCCATTATCCACAAATTCAGATATTAGCACTGAGCCATTTGCATATCTACATGCAGCAATATACTTCATGAAATCGCCTATCAGAAGTAAACTGATGTTTGTGGTAAATCAACGTTGAAAACAGTACTGTAAATCACAAGTTTTAATGCAAAAAAGCTCATCTAACCTGTTTTTATCTTTGCATATCATGGTTAATAGCATAACGGATAAACCAACCAAACTGCCTTTTATGAATTTAATTTATTTCAAGGTTATTTTCGTCGGAAGACTTACTGTAACTCGAAATCAGAAATTACTTGATAGCTGCGTCCTTCATAATCAAGATACTACAGTGAAGTGCATTCATAGCCGAATGCCAACTCAAAATTAGGACGTACAGATCTGATGTTGACCATCTCTAGATGAATTCATTTCTCGGCATGGTGAAATAATACTCTGAGGTAATAGGGACACAGGACTTGAAGGAAAGAAGACTGACCTGTGACTGCAAAGGCTAATTTATTCGATGAAAAAATACATCATATATATATATATATATATATATATATATATATATATGTATATATATATAGTTTTCAGAAACATTAAAATGCACTAGGTCAAAGATAAAATAAGTTAATCTGATTGGCTCCACGAAACACGAGACCATCTAATAAGATAATTCTGACCACACACCTTCAAAATCTGAAGGTCAGGAGTTTCTACCTCATCAATTAATGGATTAAAATGTCGATTTCCTACTAGTTATTTTTTATTATTTGTGGGAATTCGACTTCAATTCTGAATTCATGGATCTGAGAAATCCTCTGAAATTCAGAAAATCAATTTTTAAAGTTAATTACTAATGCACAGTACAGTGTTTATTGTTCAGTAATATAGTTTTCAAAGAATGACTTGTTTAAAGTTAATTTTTGCAAGGAACTATCACTTACTTCAAACTTTATTGTTAAAGTGCCTTGTTTCCGCTTAACAGTATGCAGAACTCTTTTACTCATTAACCCATATTTAAAACAAGTTTCCAGTGTTTACCAGCAGTTAATTTCATGAAATTTAGGTATTCATAGTCAGTATGCTTTAATCTAAACGATCAATTGTCCAGCAGGAAAGTTACTTCCATGTCACTCTAGGCTCAGTACATTGGGTCAAACCTTTAACCGTTTAAGACAGGAAGTCTACACCGAGTTGAAAGGCAGTTCACTAGCACACAATGTAATTATTGGAGTCGAACGTTTCAAAGTCAATAAGACGTGTAGAAAACAATTGAATCACACTCTCTAGGCCATAGTTAACCACTTTTTTAATGCTTATTGACTGAATATTTACTTTTCTCAAATCCATTTTATTCTTGGTAACATTAGGAACCTCTTCGTCATTAAAAATTTTTTTCTTTTGATTTCTGTCTACTAAAATTAGACAGACTATTGTGGATTTTTTGATTATGGAGTCTCATTACCCATTCGAAAATTGTATAAACCAATACTTTGTCAAACAACACAAGGTATGCAAACACTTGAATTAACTATACCTGCATATCATCGCCAAGATTATCCAAGATATTATTTAATTCTAATATATGCATCAGCTAGTAATGATACAACTGGTATATATAAACAATTATTTGTACGTCAGATATTGGATACATGTAATATTATTTCAAATGGTTGTTATCCTAAAGCACCGTCAAATTGTCGTCAAACTTTTCCTTCACACCTACCATCAACATTTGATCCATTAATGTCTAGTTCAGTGATATTAACTTCAAATTCATCTAGTCAAATACCAGTCTGTATGATAGGCGAGTAGACGATGAATGAGTGAGTAAAACAAACGTGTGTCAATGTTCAATACTGGATTTAAACAATCAACCTTACCTTGAGTGTATATAATCAATACTACATTCATTGCATTTACATTCTTTTAAAGTAGAAAGAGAATTTTATCTACTGTGTGTATATTTTGATTGTTTCCTCAACACTTTCAAAAGTATTTCGGAAAGAAATAGTCTGAAATTACAGTAATTGTCTTTTGATGACTGTTCTATATGTTGTTTCACCCGGTGGTAATCGCATAAGTGTGTGTGTGTGTGTATGAGTTTCAGCCATCATAACCACCTCTTCTTTCCTTAACTTGACTTTGTCTTTCTTTGATATGGTTGATTTCCCAAAATAAGCAAAAATATCCTTCTTTTCGACATATTCACCATTCAACATCATTTAAACATATTTGTTCAATTCAATTTTCTATTTGTTTGTTTTTGTATACGCCTACTGAACATTGAATGGAAGTGTGAATTAAGAAAAAAATTAAACACTAAAGCAGTCTTCGGTTTCTTTTTATTGTTGTGTTATTTCATTTGAAAGATAAGAAAATAATATTTTTGGATATACATTTTTATTTGTTTATCTATGCCTGTCAATTCAATGTTTCAGTGCTTTTAGTACATTGTTTGAAAGAGTAGAAAAGTAGTGAACTTGGTCGTGTCCAACTTTGTTAAAACACTAGTAGTTAAATATTTCAACATTTCTAACTAGTGTCATCATTTAAAGAACCTTGTGAAAACTTCGAGGCGCCGGACAGTTGTTCCGTTCCAGTATGGAACTTCTCAACAGTACGCACTCAGGACATCGCTAGGGATCAAACTAAAGACCTCTAAGTCTCGCAACGCAGGCGTGAACCATTCAGCCACTGGGTTGGAATTCAGTAGTCCACAGTTTCTTAATTCTGTCGATTCGCAAGATATTATGATTTTCATCCGGTGTCTTCAGTTGGCATCCATTTCAATTCAGACTGTCTGACACCACAGATCATGACTTCTTATTAGAAATTCGAATAATCCAGTTGGAAACATGTCATTAATGATCACTGCACTGCTAAGAAGCCCGGTATTGGGTCGAAACAGCTATTTGGTGCTTCTAGATTTTCAACGGTTCTCCAAGTGCCATCGATTTATCATGCGGGCTACCTCAAACATAAAATCCCCATTAACTTCAAAACCCACTTTCATTCGACTCAGTTTCATTGTAAAACCTAGACTGGATATAGTTATTACAGACAACCTCATCAGCCGCAACTCCAGATACAAATAAGCTTTAGTGATTTATTTACAAATACAAATTTTCTATCTAGAGGTTTGTGGACGTTTATTAACTGATTTTAGGTTGGAATTCATCATGGACTGACATCAGTTGGAGGAACATTGGAAACCTGGGAGCACTGAACAGCTGTCTTGTTCTAATATGGGACTCCTCAGCAGTGCGCACCTATCACCCCACCTCCCCAGGGACCGAACCCAGGGCCTCGAGGTTCCGTGGCCAGCACGTTACCATTCAGCCACTAGGTCGGAATCCTGGGTTCGATCCCTGGTGTGGTGGGGTCATTGGGTGCGCACCTCTGAGGAGTACCATACTAGGACGAAATAGATGTTCAGTGCTCCCAGGCTTCCAATGTCAGTCTATGATGAGTTCTAACTTAAAATCAAATAATAAACCTCCCCAAACCTCCGGATAGAATTAATCTGGTGCTCATTGGTGATTAGCTTAGAGAGGTGATTCCCGAAGTTCCAATGAGAAGAAGTGACCAGTGAAGTCAACTAAATCGAACATGAGGACAGCCACTCAACGACGACAGTGGATGTAAGTCGCGTCATATCATGAACTGACAGAAGTAGGAAATATGGTCCGCTGAACTCCCACCTACTGGCTGAGTGGTAACGTTCTGTCCACGGAACAAGAAAGTCTGGGGTTGAACCCTGGTGATGTGGGGTCATGGGTGCACACTATTGAAGAGTCCCATACTAGTGGGACGGAACAGTTATTCAGTGCTTCCTGATTTCTAGTGTTTCTCTAATTGATGTCGGTTCATTATGAATTCCAACCTGAAGTACCGAATTAGCTTATTCTGGTGAATTGATTTCGACTGACTTTATTATCATCAAGTACATCTGAATTCAAGTAAGAGTATGTGAATCCTTGATTATGACATACATTATTATTAGTATCTGTACGCCATCAAATTGGTAGAGAATAGGATAAACTGGAGCTAATGTTTCAAATTACCATTTATCTCCTGAGGATATTAAATACACTGTGTGTATTTTTAATCATAAGACACTGGTGTCAACACCAGAACCATCATTACCTTATATCGACTATGTTTTCCTAACCCTTTATTAGTGATTCAGTTGTCCTAGTATGGTTGTCTTCATTAACCACGTAGGAGGTACGCTCTGTGACCTTCATATTCCATGATAATCATGTTAGAAAGTCGTCACTGTGTTTTAGTCAACAGTTTTATATCTTACTAGTTCAGTTACCCCCTAAGTGGTTCCAGATGGCCTCCTATCCCTTCATATCCTTGAAATAACTGACTTCAAAACAATTTTCATCATTTTAAATAAACATGATGAAAAACGTGGTTGACAACAGATTAAATGTAACATAATGCAATTCTACACTTTACTGTGATAAATTTTATCTTTTCAGTTTTTGAGTTTACCAACTTATTCATATTCTTAATGTAGTGAATACATACAACTAGAATATCGGTCAGATTTTCTCCAGACCATACTCACTCCTTGCTATCTAAGTGATAGCTCTAAGGAAAAGAGAGTTCTTAACACCTGAGTATTGCTAGTAAGATATACAAGAAAGACTACAGTAAACAAGATTTTTTTTCCTACGATATCATTCTCAAAAACTTTACAATTGCAGTTTGACTCTTGTAACTTTCCATTGCTAAACTGAGTTGAGTTGCTCAATTTCTTTGTTAACATATGGGGTGCTATATGGATGTCTCCAGAGTGCTAGATATTTATCTTGGTGATCAGCGGAGGAATCCAGGAAGTGCATTTCGTCTTAATTGGGACGCGTCACTTGGATATACCTGCACCTCAGTGAGTGATTTTGTTCCAAATGGGACTGGATTCCGATGCCCATCGCTTTAGACACCAGAGTGATATTCACTGGCTATGGTTACTATATTGAAGCCTCAATGGGAATTGCATCCCTCACTGGAGTGGAGATACATCCAGTCGATGAGTCCTAAATAGAACGAAACTCACCTCCTAGATTCTCTCTACAATCGCATTTAAATTTAATTGACTTCTACATTTAGTAGTAAATAATAATAACAATCGCTTTATTCCAAACAAAATCTGTGATACGGTCTGCAACTCTCAGCAAGTAATATTTCAAGAAATCCTATCCGAGTATAATATTTTTAAAAGAAGAAATTATAGCATCTGACTGATTTCATTAATAACAGAATAAAAGTTCATAGTGTGAAAGAGCCATCTTATGCTAGATTACCTTCTGATTTCGAAGGGGAAATGAACAGAAAAATGTGCTCACAAACGACTTCTCAGTGGTACTCCATTCAGTCACTTCAAAGATCTGTTTCAAGCTAAGAGTTATATCAGTTGATAAATGGAAAACACGAAAATCAGATAGTGTCATCAGTTGCATTAGTTGATTTATCTTAAAAGTCATCTTACTCACAACTTAAGTGGTAACATTCTTGGATATTTCGGTTCAAGAGCTTTCAAATCACCTCTCAACTGTTTCTGCATAATCCATATTTCCGAAATGACTACATGTTGAGTGAGCTCCGTTGCTGTGCATTATCCCATATTTCATGCTTGAAATGAGTTATTTCATTTATTATTTCAATTATGGTGCGTTGTGGTCAGATAATTTAGTTATATATATATATATATATATATATATATATATATATATATATATATATATATATATATATATATATATATATATAGTGGCAATAAACACTAGACTTGTGTTCTATTCCAATCGGTTGAGACCATCTAGTTGTGTGTCTCATTTTCTAGATTGATTGAATATACTTGAATTAGCAGATATATTTGAGGCCAAACACGTTTAAACTCAGCGTTAGGATTCAATCGGCAAGACCACATGCTTAGCACAATTTCAACCAGAAGAAGTTAAAACACGAAGTATCTTGGGGATAGTATTATACTGTATTTTTGTAGATTTAAAAGTCAATTTCCATGTACCAGAATACTTCTCATTTCGTTTTGCTTTTATCTTAAAGAAATGGCCAGTTGAAAACATGTAAAAAATAAGCGGGAGTACATGAAACGTCTCGAACACATATTTAAAGGATTAAAACAAATTGAAAGAGAATAATTTGATGTGATATGTCCAGCCGAAACGTTTTGCCTTCATAAAACATTAAAATATCTCAAATGTTTTCTAGATCCGCAGTTATGATGGATAGTGATCATCAGTGGAGCCCAGGAAGATCATTGTGTCCCACTAAAGACTGGTCAGCTGGATTTGCCAGCCTCCCAGCGAATAATGTTGTCCCAACTGGGACTCGAACTAGGGCTGATAGCTCCAAACGCCAGACCATCGAGCCACGATAGCCACTTCTTGTGCGATAGGTATGGTTTTTAGTATTATTGCTTCTATTATCACGTCGTTAATTGGACCGAATTGATCGGTCTCTATTGGCATATGGGCTCCTGCCTGGATGCTTCGGTCTAGTTGGCAACGGTATAGTACAAGCGATAATACTCAAAAAAGAGATCTTGATACTTTGTGGTCACAAAAATAAAATGTAAATGATTTTATAAACTTCATGATCAAACGTTGACCAGATAAAATTCCATAATTTGAGCGTTGGACAAGTGGATTATAAAGGAAACACTTTTAAAACCCCATTGAGATAGAAAAATTAATTTCTGATATTTCACGACCTCGTGGAAGTTGCTTTTCAAGAGAATACGGGCTGTACAAGTCATCGCATACTTAAATAGTAAATGGGGATAAATCAGATCACGTTGTTCATACATGGTAGTTATAATATGAGAATAAATGTCATCTTCATCACTTATTCGTTCGTGAGTTCAAGGTGAATAATGAATGTATGAATGTATGTGAGTGTATGCGAGGGTATTAGGATAGTTTGTTTATATATATATATGTGCACTTTTATTATGTATGGCGTGTACAACGTATTAATTCGAATGTAGTGGGTGAGATTTTGAGAATATAGTTGTGAATAACTTGTCACTAATTCATCTAACTGAATAACAGTTTGTTAATTTCAAACCATTTCTAACTGTTTATTCAAAACAGTTTCTCTCTGTAAAAACGCTTACCTAATCAATAACTCAGAACGTGACTATTCTGACAGAATAATATCAGAGTAATATGAGGAAGCATATTTCGGAGTGAATCACTAAACTGGCATTGTTCAACCTGACTGGTGGGTATCTGTTGTGATGCACCAGTTTTGTATTATTGTTGTTGATCTGAACATATATATATATATATATATATATATATATATATATATATAACGATTGGCGCCCGAAAACATAACAGTATCACAGATCACAGATCTTTTCTGTGGAATGCATCTCAACGCTCGCATTTTATGCAAGGAGGATTTGGCTTATGAATCTAGCTTCTTCAAAGTATATGACCAAATAATGAGTGAGATGTCTAATGTAATATCCAAGGTCTATAGTTTACTTAAGATTTGTACTCTCCAACTACTCATCTAATTTTGGTAGCCACAACAAGTTGAAAGTACAAAGTCCAAACTTACTATTGAACAGGATAATCTCAATGAAATTAACACACAGTTTCTTCTCGACAATTCTCCCATGGCATAAATCCTAATTGGTACTGGTCTGTTGTTCTCTGAGCATTCATATTTTGTCATGAACGTCTCATCAACAAAACTGGTGACAGTATAATATCATTCTAACAAAGATTCTCTACCAGTATGACAGGGAAATTTACGGTCAAAGAGATTAAGATGTGGCAAAAATCTCTTCCCCAACTTATAAACGGACAACATCCAAGGTCAATAAAAACACCATCTAAACATTCGTATATACTTCACTTCTTTATGAAGTTATTGCTGAGGATGTCACGAAGTCTGGTGAGGAAACGTCCATGATAAAATATCAATGCTGAGACAACACCAAACGACCATCATTATCAGTCTAAGCTACAAATCTTTCCCATCTTCTGAAATCGTTTGTATATGTTTCTCTTGATACCACGATACTTGTTGATTTACCTTGATAAGAGTTCCATACGTGGTTTGCAATCACTCGGAAAAAAAGAAGATACTGCTGAAGGAAATGACATTTTATTTCAGAAAAAGGATGAAGAAAGTTAAGAAATGAGAACTATAGCCAAATTTTTGATTCTGAGAAAGAAAACAGAATAAAGGTAAGAACAATGTTAACAAATATGAATATGTTTCAAGGATCACTTTATTAATCGGTTAATTTCCATTAAAATGGATAATCATAAGATGAAAATGAAAATTGTCCTAAAACAACTGTACATGAAAAGAAAAATGTCTACTTCTCTTCAAGAAAGTATTCATCTGATGGTTCTAGTGACAATTGTCTCATTTTTCACTTCAGAAAAGAGAATATAAATATAAAAGCATCAGTGAATGTATTTTCAGTTGAAATGACTGCGTATGTATAACTCGGCGCATAAAATTTAGAAATTTAGACTTCAGTATTATTGTATGATATCTTTTATAATTAGACTGTTGTATATACAATATCATTATATATCGAAATGTTTACAAGAAAGATACTATTTTTAAAAAAAATTGTGACAAATGTTTCGAAATAAACTTATACTACTTATTACCAACAAAGTAACTTAACTTTTCATCACAAAAATCATCAAGGCACGAAATCTCAATGAATAATTATTCTAATTTATTGAACAACAATTCAGTTTATTGGATTGCTTTGGTTTCCTTTCTAGTTGAACTGTTCCTTTGTCTTGAGGAGAATTCTAGATTCAGTATAAAAAAATAAAAAATTAGAGAAACAAAAAGAGGATTGCGAAAATGTTTTCACTAGTTATATCAATGTGTATATCACTGTGATCTCTTTCCTCTCACTCTCTTCCATAGGGTACTAAAATAAGAAGATTAAAAATCACCTGAGAATGAAACTCCCAGTCAAACAGTAATAATTCTAAGTTTAACTATTCTCCAGTTACATAAGTCTTGATGTAGTAGACGACTTTTCCCTCTTCTAAGCCACTATGGTTGACTATGTTGACTTAAGAATTCAGTTTCTGCTAAGATTTTTATTTGATAATTTTGTAGACCAGCTGGTTCTTAGAATTCAGTCCTTATAGCAAAATTCAATGAATGTCAATTGCATAACTTCAGTGCAATGCAAACTAGTATCGTATTCAAACCGATCAAAATTATTTTCTTTCAGATTGAAAAACCTACTCCTGTTGTACTTGTTAAAATATTACTGTTGATAAAATCTTCATTTTTCAGTTAGTATTGCTCTTGAAATATAAATCAAGTGAATACTTTAACTATTTTGGATTGGAAACATATTCCTTCGAGCTATTTATTCGTATTAGATGTTGCTGATAAAACTTCACCTACTTATGAGTAGTTGATGTTTTCCGTATAAATTTTGTAAACATCTCATGCTAGCAAAATTGGTGGAAGCAGTTACGTTCCCTACTGTCAAAGTATCTAAATGCGTCTAGAAGTCGTTAAAATTTTCATTGTACTACATATTACAAAGAAATTCCATTGTCCAGAGTAAACAATGATCAAGTGAATCAAGGGAATAATGCATAATACTGAAATCAATAGGATTCACCACTAGACTACCATTGTAAATCTCAGAAAAGCAACTTTTTGTATTACATGTAATTATCACTAAGGCCATTTGTTTTACTAGAATACTATGACTTATTATAATTCACAAAGGTCTTGTTTCAAACATTCAAGGTAAGGATAATCCTAAAAGTTTTCCTTACTCAAGGTTTGCAAGTCTTAAACAATAATGAAGGATATATTATGAAAAACATCTCTAAAACTACTTTATATCATTCAGCACAAAGAACAGAACATTAGACTAGTTGTTACAGAGAGAAATTTCTCTTTAAGTCGTTTAAAACAATGTAACTGGATGGGTTTATGTCCTTATATTTTACGATTGGTGATTTCAGATTTACGTTAGAAACAAGCTTATACACCTAAATGGACAGCAGTTCATATATTCTTTGAACTACTAAAGTGTGAAGACCGTTGCCATCCCTCTTCAGTAACAAACTCTGAACTTGTCGAGTATCATAGTTGATGAATACTAACGTGAGGATAAACTTATACCTTAGGACTATTATTATAAGTTGTTACCGTTATTATGGTCTAAAAGTACCCTAAAATCTCTTCGATTATTCACCTAATAAGTTGATTTAAAGCAGACCAGAGACTCTGTGCTAATTACAAATTGATGGGTGTTTTATGAGTTAGTTTAGGCTGTGTCCTTCAGCATCTTCGGGATCAGATCAACAAAATGATGATAGTGTAGTTCAGTAATAAGGTATATAGTGATGAAGTAGTCGGAAAATTCATGTTATGTCGAGGAATTTGTCATTGAACTATTTTTACAAAGTTAGTTTCCGCATTCATTTAAGTTTACAGAGCCTTATTCAAGCTCCCATCACATTATTACAACTTGGATGGTAGCAAAAGGCAAGTCAAGCCATTCCTCAATGACTATCTGAGTAGTTCCAACTGTTTGACTGGTCTCTTTTTGGCATGGAGAGATGGCTACCAACCGTAGTGGTTTGTAACGCCGGTGATATATCCTTATGTCAATTAAAGAAAGAATCCTCCATAAAGTAGTCCGTTCTATCCTAATACATACGTGTAAACACGCTAATTAAGCGTAAAATAGTTTCAGAAAGCCTTAAATGTTGGACCACTATCAATCATCATCTTTGGATGATGGGTTCATAGTGTGAGTGACACAGAAGTCAGGTATTAGGCGCGGAGAAAGACATGAATGTCAGCTGAGGAGGTTGGGAAGATTAACAAACTGATGTCACATAGACGTGCTTTACACATGCATTACTACCACCTATTCTGATAAGTAATGTTAATCGATGTATCCTTAAGTTGGTAGGAAGTTAAATGCAGGCAGATGAAGATATGACTTCTACCCGTGAGGTATTTGATTGTTGGTATGAACTCTGTAGATCAGTGTAAACTTGGTGCTTTAGGTTCCCAGCTCAACCGAAATCCACACTTTGAAAGAAATAGTACACATACGGCATATCTTGTCGATATGCATTCTTTAACTAGAGTACAAATCGATAGCCGTAGGCAAGATGACTTTTTCCATTGTTATCTTATCAGAATTTCACGCGTTACTTAACGCTAAAGTTTATTACAGCTAAATGAGACTGTCTTTTTCTAATCGCATTGAAACGAATGTAAACCACACTATGCAAGTGAGGATAAGGTATCAAGGCTGTTGTTAACATGTTTGTTCGATTTGCAAATGATCACAATTGATTAGACTTCCAACTGCCCAACAATAATGTTAACAGAGTTTCCGTTGGAAGTAACCTATTAACCAGGATTACAAAGTATGGTCTCTAGTATGTAAAGTATAATGAACTATCTACACATCTACGTGAGTTGTTTCTAACTACTCAAGTTGTTCAGTAGCATATTTCCACAATTTATGACACTTTCGCGTCAAAGATCACACCTTGTAATGTTGACTGACGAGTAGTTTCCACTGGAAACTCTGTTGATACCACAGTTGGGCAGCTGAAAAACAGCTGTAAAGAGTGTCAACATGGATCATGCAATTTGTAAATCATTTACAAGTTGGTCATCCTAGTTAAGGCATGTCGGTTCATACAAGTCAACTGACCTGATCCATGAGCTGAATTCATGCAGATACACCAGTAATGAGCTTGGTCCCGAACGATCAAACCGATCATACAGTGCTTGAATCATTGTGACATGGCTAGCGAAATCAACAGATCAGCATGAGTAGCTACTGATTACTCAACCTGTTCATCAGTAATAGATTAATATCCTTTTCTTTATGGATAAAAGCTTAAAGAATATCAATACAATAGGAGAATGGCTAGAAAACTGAGCTATAAATGTTTACCAATATAATAACATACATGAGAAATAAAAGTATTAGACTAGCATAACAACTTACAGAATTCGACCAGGGATCTGAATTATTATAACCATTGGGATTCATTTCATACCAACGCTAAAATTGAGGAATGTTAAGTGAGTAAAAGAAACAGTAAAGAATTATCCTGAAAAGGTAATCAGTATGCGAATAAAACAGTCGAAATGGAACAATCAAATAACAATAGATGATCAGTCCAACATAACTAGAAGTCCTCTACCAACCTGGTCTTAGTCACCTCTAGGATTTCATACATACCTGTAAGATCCTGCATATGAAGGTAAACGCATTCACAAAAGTAGTAGCTAGGCAAAAATTCAATGATCATGTTTTTTACACCACAATCATTCACACAGTGTAATCTGTCTGTTCACAAATATCATTAGTGATGACCTTTATGGATTGTTGAATATATGACACTTTAATCGACGACATTTCATGATGCTTCCTACAAGAAGCATCCTGCTTAACATCAATGTCAGACGATTGAGGCATTTTCTAGTTTGAATTAGTTTAATGATCAGAAGGTCAGTCAAGGTCATTGAAAATTGTTCGTTAAGTTATAGTAAATAAACAAAGAAATGAATATTTCAATCGTGTATATCTGACAATTTTCGGCAGAACATGCTGGCGTAGGCACTCATGGAGAAAAAATAGTTGTTCTTTTGTGGAAGCTTGCCTCTTGGAGAAGTCCTTCTATCCTCGAACAAGATAAAGCGTATAACGCTCGTATGATTTTGAAATAGTAGAGAATATTTGTAGTTCAGGTGGATGGTCTTGAGCTACAAATATTCTCCACCATTTCAAAAAGAAATGAACAAAATGTCTCAGGGAGGTTACAACCAAGGAAAACTAGAGATTAAATGCATATCGTGTAAACGCGAAATTCAGGCTTGAACCACTGCATTGCTAATGCCGCCCCTGCGTTGATACGGCAATTACGCGCTCCTTTTAAAACACTTGATTTCACTCTATAAATAACTTTAAAACAAGATTCTCGTGAAGTAAAGTGACCACAGATAACCAAATGTTCAGGAATCGACCTCCTCATGGCTTTATACTCGCCTGCAAACAACCATGTAGAATAGTGTTCAGAGATACACTTGGACTCAACCCGATCGATGTGTGTTGCCTACGTAACCACCTCCACAAGAGAAGGATAATTGGTGAATACACATGGAGGGAATCCAAACCACTAGTTTATCCACTTCACACCTTCAAATCAGTTGCTAATTAGAGGAAACGATCCAAAGCTGCGTGGAAAGGAAGATCTTCACCAGTACTGTGCACTGTCGTTTCTTCACTATCTCTTCCAGTGTGTTTCCCTTGAATCTAGTATTCATAAATTATATCTTCTTTGGAACAGTAATGGTTCCGTCTTTAAAATGCTTAAGCCTCATATTTCTCTCAATGAATCTTGAAGGATAGTCATTCTCGATGAACACTCTTACAAGTACTTCCATCTGATGATATACTGCATCATCTATAAACATTCTTCTCATTCTTGTGCAAAGTGAATGAATTCGATTTCTTTTCTTGACTATTGGTAATCAGGTTTGAAGATTGATATATTGTGCATTCCAGGTTTGCTTCGTGTAAATCGATCTACTTAGAGAAGTATGATGTCTTCTTCTGAACAGAAGGTACAAGAAGTGAGATTCTGAGGTATTTTCAGTTTCCATGGTAGATTTAATTGAATTTCCAGTTAACTTTTTATAACAGCTTCGTCTTAGTTACTAATTCTTGACTGGATTTAAAAAAATACCCTATACAATTTCATCTCTAGTAACTGATCAGTAACTCCTTCATGAATTGTGGTTATGGCTTCCTCAGAGTCTCAGAGACATTTTGGGTTTTATGCTTCCATCACCCATCTAACATTAAATAAAAGCTTAACAGTTTGTTGAAGAAGGCGATGACAACTGCTCTGCCATCTTCACTGTAAGGTGATGTTTTCAATACAAGTCACTTTCTAATATGTTGTTAAATTCACTTATTCGAGAAATAGATTATATAAATGATCTTTTAAATTTTCAGTTTAATCACTATGCCATAAGACTGACATTAAAGTAAAGAAATACATTTCATTTTCTTCACCAACTGAAATCACAATAAGCGCGATAAATAACATCAACATTGAAACATTGAATGTACAAGTGAACATTATAATTTTGAAAAAAAGCGATATCGAAAAACTATTTACTAATTAGTAAATAAGAATGTGATGGGGAGAAGTTGATTGACTACTTGAAGATGTGCATAGCAATTTTATTGTTTACCTTGTAGTTCACTCACCTTTGGAGCACCCCATGTAGAGACCATACATTCAGCAACTGCTTGAAATAAATTCTGAATATTTTTACCGGTTTTTGCACTAGTTTCAAAAAATCCATGAGCTGCTTGTTGAGAGGTCAGCTGTTTGAGGTTAGAATGAATGGAAAATTATGCAACAGTTAGGGAATACTGTAAGAATACCGACAAGATGTCAAGTGAGATAATCCTAAGAATACTACATAGATCTACTCTGATTGATGCTTCCTATTCAGTTTTACTGGACATTAGTTGCGGGCTCAATAACCTCACAGAAACATCTTCATCTACAGAGCTAAGTTATGTGAATCCGAACCTCTTGTGGAGCATCAGTTCAACTTGAATGACACGTTGTTCTCATCGATTATTGTCCCGCAGCATCAAACTTATTTTGGTCAGACTGAATTCCCTAGTGATTGCCTCCAGTAATCCAACATACTTAGAAATTTGAATTTGGGGGTTTATGGGAATTCAGTGATTTTTCAAGCATGTATTCATCATGGACTGACATCGATTGGAGGAACACTGTAAACCTGGGAGTACTGGACAGCTGTTTCGTTCTAGTACGGGACTGCCTAGTAATGCACACCCATGACCCCACTCAATGGTAACGTGCTGGCCACGTAACCTAAAAGTCTTGGGTTCGATCCCTAACGGGATCAAGGGCGCGCACTGCTGATGAGTCCAATACTAGGAAAAAACAGCTGTCCAGCTCTACCAGGTTTTCAATGTTCCTCCAACTGATGTCAGTCAATGATGAATACTTATAAGAGGTAGGGGGATTGGATAATATCACTGACGCAACTGGTAGGTTACAAATTGGAATAGACAACCCGAATAACTTGTTTCAATCATTTTATATAATTGAATATTGCATAATCCAGATTTTGAATTTTTTGGACTTCACTAAAACTTACTTATACCTCCTCTGTGGTTTAAATGTATTAAGGGAGAAAATGAGATCCCCATGCTTTTACCTTCTTACACTAATAGTCACAAGGCGATGAATAGTACTCAAAGTAACTAGAAAGACAGTACGAACCGTCACCTGACTCATTCTTTCAACTATATTATTCTCAGCCAAAAAGAATTGTATTGGAATAAGGTTATATGTCTTAGTAAGTATGGTCACACATTTAGCAACTAGCATCGTATGATATTTGTATAGCTCACAAAGTTGTGTTATTGAGACTGCTGAAATGTAACTCCATATTAGATTTGTTTACTTGATTTACAACACACAGTGATGCAGTACTATTTACTTGATGACATTTCCACCATAAATTATTACTCATTATCATAATAGTGTAATCATTCTACTTTCGACACGTGAGTTTCACAGTCCTGTCGCCTCATGCCCAGTGTTTTTACTGGTAGTAAAATTTTCTATATCTCCGGTGTAGGTGTTACGCCATTTCCATTAAATGTGTTGGGTGTTTGTTGATTCAGTGAACAGAGATTCAGTAATCAGTCTCCCTCAATCTTCACCTAATTATAACGGACTTGAGTATAGTGGTGTTATCTCATCCATCCAATTATGTAGTTGTGTGTTTATGCAACTAATATATGGTGGTGATATTTGGATGACACATTTACTGTGTTGAGATTAAAACATATTGACAACGTCCTCACACAAATAAACTCAGTAGTGGACGCAATGCAATTCATTTACAAGGTAGAAAATGAACAAGCAGAACTACCTAAGTTGGATTCCAGGACAAAACAGAGGACGGACGGTAGTTTGGATACCACCGTCTACAGGAAACCGACGTATTCCAAGAGGTATCTTAACTTCTGGTTATCTCATCTAATGTTAGTTACGGCAGGTTGAGTCAAATGTGTAAAGGATAGAGCTAGAAAACTGATTAGTCAGTGTAAGGAGTTTAACAAGGAATTAAAGCACCTTTAAAGAAGCGTTAGTAATTATCCTCTACAGTTTATTGATAAATTCGTAGGAAAACATACAAAATAAAATAATAATGGTAATAAGAATGAGAGAAATAACGAAGACACGAGTAGAAAGGAGTTCACAGCCTCCATTGTGTTACCTTATAAAGAAGATACATCAGAAATTTTATGTAGGATTGTCAACAATGCTAGAACCAGGGTGGCATTTAAACCTACAAACTAACTCAGAGAAAAGCTGTATCACCTGCCTTAATTATCCGCTAGATTCAATTAAGGAAAATAATCTAACCTATCAAATTCCATGCAATGACTGCAAGCTCAGGTACATAGGTTAAACTAGCTAGTCAGGGTCAGTTAGACTAGTGGAACATAGGAATATAGGAATATAGAATGACAGACGCGAATAAGACCAATAATCTAGAAACAACTTGGCTATTGCACTGTATGCAATAATACACAACCACACAACAGGGTGGGATAAAACTGCTGTTCTCAAACCCAATATAATTAGGTGGAGAGAGATGGAGATTGATTACTGAATCTCTGTTCATCGAATCAACAGCCAATCAACACGTGTAATACGAATGAGGCGACACCTATATCAGAGATATGGAAAGTATTACTACCAAGAAATACATAGAGTATGAGGTGACGGGACTATAAGACTCAGAAGTCAAGAGTAGTGTGATCACATTGACATGATAATGAGCAATGATAATTTATGCTCGAACCGTCATCAAATAAATAATACTGTATCACCGTACGCTATAAATCAGATATAATATGGAATTACATCCTACCACAGTGGAGAAGTTTCACACTTATATTATTGAAATGTGACATTTCCAGACAAGAATAAATATTATTCACCTGTGTTTATCGTAGATATGTTCTACATTGATTTTGAAGTGTTATCACTGCAAAATTAATGCTATGTACCTGATCTGTTTGGTGCTAACTGGTGTGGACAATGTTTCACTACATTCATCTCATCAATTAGTACATAACTTTTATGCATTAGGATAGTTTTCTTACAGATTGACTAGATCCTTTCCTTTTGAATGTACAATTATAGATTTCCCATTTTTGAGAAATCTCTGCTCCACGTGTGTATGAATAATTACTGAACGATGCACAACTAGAAGAAATATATATGATAATTCTCAAACTGCTCAACCAGTTTACACAGCCTTGATCCTTAATCTGTTGGTGTAGCTTGATATACATACAAAAGGCTTCCAAGGTATTCTATAACATATACCTTGAGTTGTATAGGATAAATATCCGATTACTGAACAAAAGGTAGGAGTAATTAATGGAGGTTGACGCGTGTTCTGAAGCAACATCAAGTTGAAAAGGTTAGTGGTGGTTATATCATTGACTGCATTTATTATATTATTATTTATCCCTTGGGTTCCCAGTGGAACATAAGGCCTTAGTAGCACGCCTCCATTTCACTCTCTTCTCTGCAGTCTTCTCTTTTAACCTGACGCCACAACTGCTCACAAGCTTTCAGTTCTTCCTCACACTATCTCCTCCATGTCACCCTCGGACGCCCAACTCGCCATTTCCCATCTGGGTTCCACTTGACGGCCTGACCTGGAGCGTGATGTCCCGAATGGTCTTCCCACTGTATGTCCAATCCATCTCCATTTCCTTCTGCATATTTGTTAAGCTATAGGTTCTTGGTTGGTTCGTTGCCAGAGTACTCATCGACTGTATAGCCCTAAATAAAGAACATCTGACCGACTTCTCTGTACCAAAGAGGAGGATGTAAGCTTGCTGTGTAAAATTCTTGGATTTTACACATTAGTTATCAGAGAAACTAAGTTGCATACAAGAAAATTAATCACCCTAGCGGATGTGTAACCTTTCTTTGTCTTTCTTAAAAAGAAAGCTTACATCCTTTTGTTTATTTGTTCTTCTTTTCTTTATCTTTCACCTTTCTCATAACCTTTTGTACACTGATACCACTACTATTAACAATGAATGGCATCTACTAGTGAATTTATTGCCTGAATATGCCCATCTCCGTGTATTATTGTGATTTATGACAGATACATTTAAGTGCGTCCTAGATTTCAGCATAAAGCAATCCTCATCCTTTATATCAGCGTGAAATAACCAGCTATATCGAGGCATTCATCAATCCATTCAGTTCATAATAGTCAACAATAGGAAATAAAATGTGATAATATTCTTATACTTGTGTTCATATTCTCTTTTATTTTCTGTTGTAAGTACGCCAATTTGATTTAAAATAATTTTATGTAGCTTTTACAACTTTTCCATCTACTTTTCTCCATTTGTAAAATTTCAGTGACAAAAACCTGAAAAATGTCAACAATTATTTTATTGTTTCTGTATGTAATAGGTGTATCATTGATAAATAGACTTACTTTTTGACCTTGTTCCGTTGACACCTTGATATCTTTCACCATGTCAATTTTATTGGCTACAAAGAAAACTGGCACTGCATCTTCCATATGCTAAATGTTGGAAAAATAAAGTAAACACATTAGTCAATTAGTATTACTGAATAAATAATAATCGACTAAATTAAGGTACTACACGTTTAAAATCTTTTGATTTAAGTATTACCAAAATATTTCACCGTTTAAATCCAAATAAGAGAAAAAAAAAGAATAGATATTTTGTGTAAACTGTTTATCACATGTGAAAGAGAAAAATATTCCTCACACTAATCGTGTTGCACAGATGACCAGCAGCCACACTTTTAGGATTGGAAATAGACAATCAACCAATGGCGTACAACTGCGGCTTATCAGTTAACCAACATTAATTAAGAACATCTTGACTAAACCACATGTGTATTTCTGTATTATCATTATCATTTGTCCCTTGGGTGTCTAGTGGAACATAGGGATTCAGTAGCATGTCGCCATTTCACTCTCTTCTCTCTAGTCTTTTCAACCTGGCTCCACCACCGCCTACAAGCTTTCATTTCTTCCTCACACCATCTCCTCAATGTCACCCTCGCCTCCGATGCCCAACCCGTCGTTTTCCATTTGGGTTCCACTTGAAGGCCTGGCCTGATGCATGATATCCCCAAATGTTCTTCTCATTGTATGTCCATATCCATATCCACTTTATTCTGCATATTTGTTGGGCGATGGGTCACCGGTTAGTTGGTTCATTGCCAGTCAGTCAGAGTTCATTGTTGCTTATTCTTATTATTCTGGCCATCTGATCGCTGTCTTCAGTATCCAGTGAGTATAGGTGGCAGCTGTTTATTCATGTCTGCAGTTTGTTGGAAATACTTTTCGTAACGCGTCAAGTCTCTCAACCATCACATAGAAGCACTGACTTGACATTAGTTGTGCTGAAAATCCAGATATTATTCACGCTTTATGCTGAGTGGAATGCAGTCCAGCAGATCTCCACACTGATTTCAGGAAGCCTTGTCTTGTTATCTTTCCGATCATGGGTTTTGACAATCGCATCTGTGTTTGTGCCATCTGTATTTAAAATGATGCTGCCTAGGTAGGTAGGTGAAAGAGACTACTTTCCTCAGATTTCTCCCGTTGATGCAGATTGATGCTTGTTGTTGTTGGCTGGGTATCTTCATCACATCTATCTTCTCTACGTTCACCTGTAGGAAGTCCAGTCTTCGCTGCCCTGTCCTGCCTCTTCTATCAACCTTTTAGTTTTCGCCTGTAGATCTTCCAGTTTGTGCTTCATAAATCATGATCATGGGAGAAATAAAAATCTTCTACGGTCTTTTCATCGCATCAATCAAACAGCGTATGCCCTTCTTCTCACAGACTCTTGTATCACCCAGTCTAGTTCAGTCGATTACAATCAGGAAGATCGTCGGTGATAGTAGGCGGTAACCTTGTCTAACTCATCCCTGTCTTTACTTCAGAGGCATCACTGAGCTGAGATTTCCATTGTAATTTGCTTGACATGTAGCATCATATAGCATGTAGCTGCTGCTGAGGTTGGTAAAGGTTTGTAGCATTAAAAGTGTAGTGTTGAAGCAGCTGCCTGTCAAATCACTTCTTGATCGACGCTATCGAAGGCCTTTTCAAAGTCGATGAAGTTGAGGTGAAGATCGAGTGGCCAGCCATTCTATGCTCTCTTCTATGATTATGAGTACAGCTGCAATTTTATCTGCACATAATTTGTTTTTCCTGAAGCCAGCCAGCCCGTTTTGGTTGTGATTTTGAATCCAAAGCATTTTCCAGTCTCTCCAGGATGAAGCGATTTGATATTTTGCTTAGTGCAAACAGGAGCATGATTCCGCACCATTTCTTGCAATGACTTAGGATATTACTCCATTCTTCCGGTAAATACATCACGCATTGGATATTGTGTACTTATTGTGTTAGCTGGTGTGTCAAGTATGGTGTTAGGATAGAAGCTTAACAAGTGGCAAACGACGATAGTACAGGGATAAAGATTTAACACATAGAAACCATGTTCTTCCCAAACCAGAGAGATAATTTGAGATACTCATCATTTCTCACCAAATAACGCTGTCATTATTGGTGTATCGAATTCCAAACGGAGTAATAGTATTTAAGACATTCTACGAAGCGAAATAATTATCTATACATCCTCAGTTATTGCAATTGATTTTATAAATGATACTTGGTTTGACTTCTTTTCTAAACACTACATTGGATAAAGTGATCACCCTCATCACCTTCGTCTATATGAACACCAATTGGCTATTAAACGTCATGATATTTCATCACTCATTTCAATGCACGTGGATAATTATGGACATGAATTCAGCTTTGACAATGTATAAATCTTGGACGAAGAGGGGGAACGCAAAGAACATTAGAGAATTCCTAAGAGCTTGGCATTCAGATCAGTCAGTCAGTAATCAATAGATGTGTAGAAATAGACTTAATCTTTCAACCAATGGGAAAAATGATAAACGACAGAAAGGTGAAGCAGAGGAACAGCCAATAGGAAAATCTATACAGTCAACACAGACAACAATCAAAGTAAACAACCAACCACAAGCCAGTTGGTCAGGGCAAGCTACTAAATCACTCGTGGAGAGATGTTTACTGCTCACTTCATACTGAAATTAGTGTTGATGATGTCGTCTAGAAAGACGATGAAAGCTTCACGATTAAACAACACAGCTCAGGGAACACAATACAACCAAGTATTTAGTAGATGCTCATTAGAAGCGGAGAATATACGAGTTTGGAAAGATTCTTCTATGTAGAATGATAACATTAAGTTACATGATAGAAAATAAAATTTATGCAGACTCCGGGTTGATAGCCGTCTGGTACACAAGTGACTTTATCAATCAGCCAGACAAGTAGTTTTCATAGAATAAAGGCAGTATTTGATATCCTTGGTACAGAAGTCTTGCGTTATTGTCTGACCTTGAATTGACTGTAAAATAAGCATATTACGTAAGTAAAGAGTTTCTTATCGACTTCATGTATTAATCTAAGGATGTGAATAGAAAACTTCTATCTTACATGCTGACAAATAGAAAAATTCACGATGATATTGTCTGTCGCGTTTTTACTTCACCTGTTTTATGAACCTACTGATGGAGGAGATCGTGGTGAATTTTAGCTTCTCATAAAAAACAGATCCTAAATCGAGGTCACCAAGCGACCAGAAGTGGACAAACGAAATAGGTTTTACCATATTTACGAAAGATAGTCTCCTAGATATTTAAGTAAAATTTGGTATATCTTCCACATCTGTATATGATGCTTCAGTTTTGATCTTCATTGGTATCGATTTTAAGAACACCGAGTGAAACGGTCGATAAATTTCAGTATCTAACTTTGCCTGAGAATTTGCATCTTGATGGACTGACTATTAAAAAATAACATTTGTCAGTCTGAAAAGATATACGACCAGTTATCGAACAATGAATACACCGTAAAATACTCCAAGTCATCCAAATCTGAGGCTGACATATAACTACTGAAGACAGTGGACAAAAAGAGGTTAGAAGTGTTTGATTGCATGTGTGCAAACTCATAAAGTCAGTAGTTTTGAGCTCAAGTGTATGAATAGTATGCGACGACTGTGTCATGAATGTGGAGTCACTCTCTGCTTCAGTGTACAATGTTAGCTGAAGTAAGACTTATTCAAAATCTGGCTTGTGTTACGATATTGACTGGTCACTGGAGAAAAACCAGTTTCATCTTGTCTAGTCCTGACTGCTGACTGAATCCTATCGATCGTTTTTGTAATGTGGTCAACAAGCTAAGAGGTTCTGCACTCCAGTTTACTTTGATAGATTTTTGTTGATTGTAAGGCAGTCGACATCTCAGACACTTAAGTCGTTGACTATTGGCTTCAACTATATGGGAGAAGTGTAAGTTTCCAGAGTTCATTTCTCAGGTTGTCAGTAATCTTCAGTTGAAAGCCATGATCGATACAGTGAAAAGCTGATCACCATGTTTTGCATTTCTATAAATACTTAACACGGTATTACTCCACGTCTATTTAGATCATGCCCACTAGTTTCAAGCAAAGTGTTCAGTTCCAAAAAATTCTTCTTTCCACGTTGTTTACTAGTTTGGCAAACTGAAATCAAGCATTTACTACCATTTTCTTCGTTTGTTAATCTCTCCTCTCAATTCCATCAAAAGTAGTTATATAAATAACAGTAATAGGTATCTAACAGCAGGTTTTAGAACACGATTATAGACCACAAATAAGAGTATCAGACGAATTAGCTATTACCTTAATAAAAATTTTTCACTCTTTTGCTTCAAAGATTACAAAAATTTATGACCTTTTCATTAACAGAAAATCTATTTGTAACATTACATGAAAATGATTCATAATCCTAATGAATCTAATAAATAAATTTTTGATATAATATATAGCCCAAGAAATATCTCTTGATAACTTAGTGTGTAATAACGAGGCACACGGTCATATACAAACAATGCCGTAGATTTCTATGATAACATACTGAAGAGAATATGATATATATATATATATATATATATATAATTTTTAGCGGTAGTATTCATCACGAACTGACATCAGTTGAAGAAGTATTGGAAACCTGAGAACACTGGACAGATTTTTCGTCCTGTCATGGGGCTCTTCAGCAACACGCATACACGACCCTTCTACGGAACAAACATGGGACCTTCAGTATTTACGGCTAACGCGATAACCATTCAGCCACTGGATTGAATTTCAACGTTTCACAGCTTCCGACGTCTGTCATTTCGCAATATAGCCCGATTACCACCCAAAGTCTTTAGTTGCCATTCGCTTCCCTTCCGATTGGTTGACCCCACCACATGTCACAACTTCTCATTAGAACTTGGGTATATTTATCTGGAAGCATGTCACTAATGACCACTATAGAGTAATGTATTTTTAGGTTAATTTTGAGATAGTATTCAGCACGCAGTAACATCAGTTTGAGAAACCACTGAAAACTTGGAAGCACTGGACAGTCGTTTCTTCCTGGTATGGGACTCCTCAACAGCACGGACCCACCTTTGTTAAC